AAAGAAATTGTGTGTGTGTGTGTGTGTGTGTGTGTGTGTGTGTGTGTGTGTGTGTGTGTGTGTGTGTGTGTGTGTGTGTGTGTGTGTGTGTGCGCGTGTGCGTGTGCGTGTGCGTGTGCGCGTGCGTGCGTGCGTGCGTGCGTGTGTGTGTGTAGTGTCCAAAGTGGAGTTCTCAGTGTTTAGAATGTAATCTTACAGTATCATATGAAAAAGAAGAAATATCAAAAGTAGTCCAATGTATGAAGTCCAGCAACACACTTGTGAGACTGTGTAACAGTTGCTTCTGATGAATCAGAAAACATTGTAGAACCCCTCACTTTCTTACAGCTAGTGCGAGTGTGTACAAATAATGACTCTTTGCTCATTAGCTGCACATATGGTCAGTGGCAGAGCAGCTGCAGGCCACACTGTTAACCTACAAATACAAGCATTGTGCCAAAGTGTTAGTCAGCACTTTATTTGGGTTCTCTGGAGTCTAAAGTTCAAACCCAGAGCATGGCAAGTGCCGAGTAAACACCCCATGAAGGGTCTTTCAACGAGACACTGAATCTGTATCAGCGGGTGGCTCTCTGTTGAAGATTGTGACCTTTGACTCCCTTGTGGATGTGAATTCTTTCAGCGTTTATACAATATGTCCTCCTCATATCAAATTACTTTTGGGAGTTTAAAGTTAACAACAAAACTGTAGATCATAATCGAGCCATAAAATACTGTAACTTGCAACAATCATCAACAATATATGTAGTTGTATTCTTTGTTTCTTATTTTCACACCTGTATATTACTTTTCTTTCTCCCTTTACCTACACACAAACATAAACACACTTGTGCACACATTTTCCAGCATGATGAAGCACAATTATTTGTTTTGCCTGGTCTATTTGTGTGTTGATGCAGCACTTTCCTCCATCCTTTAAATGGCTCTTCTTAGACAGCGGAGAAGCTTAGCCTTGTTTTAAACGTGGTCTCTACCTTGAGCTCATTAAAACACCTCCCGTGTTCAGGAGATCTTTTTTTTCTTTCTTTCCTAATCCATGCTGCCATGCTGTGACACACAAACACAAAACAACCCCACATATAACAATATAATATATGAACATGACCTAAACATATTAGATACATTCACAGAGGAAGTTGCAGTCGTGTGGATGTCTGATGTTAACTGGCAGCTTGTTACCAAACACAAGGTGGGTGTGTGCCAAGGCACATCCAATCTATTTTAGGTCTGCTGTGCAGAATTGATGAGCTGTGACTGAATATTACCTTCTTGTGAATGGACTTAGGAGCCAGTTACAAGCCTTTAGTAAAACTAAAATGTCCTCTTGCAAATATAAAACTGTTGAGCTCCTTACACTAATTAAGAAAAGGTTGGCCGCAGATGTATAAAAAGACAATCAATACTAACTCTTTGCTTGAAGGACAACTTAGATCAATCTAAATGTACTTCAAAGCTCTACACTTACTGCCCCTTATTTCTGTGAAAAAAAGCTGCACCAAATGAGCCAGCACTAAATTCACAGGTGTCCAAAACTTGACTACCTGCTCTACAGCTTCAAGACCCCCAGGTTCCAACACCTTACCCCCTCTTGTGACCTTTGACATTTTCTAGCAAAGACTTTCATTCTCACATTTTGTTTCCTTCTATATTTCTTCTGAAAGAAAGCTGAAGTTTAATGAGCAGGTTCCCTCTAAAAAGACAGGCAGGGCCATTGTTAAGAAGAAAGCAGGCAGAGAAAGAGGAGCATCTTTCCAAACCATCAAAACCATTTGAACTACGTAAACTATATTAAAGATTAGTTTTTAACACAATAAGGAGACTGGAAGTGCAGATAAAAGGGAAAAAGTACAAAGATAGTTATTATTTGGCTTGTAATTTTAAAGTTACACACTTCAAAGATTCTTATTTATTCTGATTTAATCACATACAATTGTTGTGTAAACATGTTAAAAGGTTTAAGTGCAATGTAGAATTGCAGTCTTGTTGAAACAAGCTTTCCCACTAACAATGAGCAACCCTGAGCTTTTTTGCCTGATCTTACCGACTTTGTTGATTGAAAACTTAAAACAAGCCTTACATTGAAATTACATAATAAATATTCTACAATGCTCATAAATGCAGAGTTTAAATCACTCTTAATACAAACTGTTCATTAAAGCTACACTGAATACAGTCTCTAAGGAACATCCCACAGAGTTGGCCTGTGAACACAATTAAAGCTTTAATCTCTGTTCCTGGCTAACACGTTTTGATGTAGTCCCCTGGGAGAAACCCTGTGACCTTTGAATCAAGTCAGCTAGTTGTTGAGTCATGCTGTATCTCTGCCAGCTCCTTCTTTTTGCTGATTAAAATGCCTTTGTGAAAAAATATATTTTAGGTCTATTTAACCAGTTCTTATAATTTATAACTCAAATAAAAATGATGATGAGAACAAAGACAGGGTAAAAAATAAAGTTTTATACAAGATATTTACTGTCTTGTTCTGACTTCATGGAGAAAAAAACAACTTAGCATTAAAGAAGTTAAGCACATTGCCCCAGACATTCTTAAAGACTAGTTTAAACTGCACAGTACAGTACATCTGTGTCCATGTGAGACATTCAAAGCAGGTTGGATAATCCCAGCTGTGTTCCATTATAACTGTGACCCTGTCAGACCTTACCTGCTGTCTCAATGATTAGAGCCACTGTCGTAGGAGGCTCCTTAAAAATATGCATATATATAGTACATCTAGTGGGTGTTCTTGTTGGTATTCTGAAAAAGATGGTATAGTTTATTAGCAGATAATCCATACTTCTAACACAGTATGAAGGACGTCAGTTTATCCTCTCAGATCCATGAGTTCCTAGAGGGGTTTCTAATTTGTAAAAAATAGTCTTTGTAGGGCAAAGACTATCAAGAGGATTGATTAGTGACATCCATGTCGCAACCAGGGCCACCTAGACTGTAAATAACCAATGTAGAGATACTCTGGGAATACACATCCAAGAAAGGGTCTTACATTTGCAGTTGACTAACTGATGAGCTCAGAGGTCAGAGGTCACTGACCTCCCTGTTGATGGGTGACGGACATATAACAGCCAGTCATTGCTTGTGTCAGCTGCTAATGAATAGCTGACACTTACATATATAAAAGTAATCAATAACGAACCTTACTGCAAATTGACTTTGGTGCACACAGACACAACAACATTGCATAACACCTTGTATGACTTAAACTCTGCTGTCTCAAAACCTTTTCCGGGCAGAGAGATTGTGTAGAATTCTCAAAAACCGCGTCTGTGTTTTTTGCGTTTTTTCCTATAAGTTCTTACAATCCACATTCCCCACTGACTTTACTGTATAATGTGGACATTGAAATGGGAATTTAAGAACCTTTGAATCAGGTGAGTGGTCTTAACCGGAGCTAAACTGTTGCTATTTTAAGCGGCCAGCGTCAGCCCCGCAGCATAATGTGTCATTTCTTTCCTCTTGCGTCAGAGGTCTCAGGGAGAGAGAGATTTCATTCTTACAAAAATACATTTCCAATGTCTAAAAGGTCCTCCTGTCCTCTGTTTGTATAACACATTACGTTTCCTAACCCCCAAACAGGTAATAACCGTACTGAAATACATTTTATTTATTTTATTCAACAAACAATCTTTGTCTATAGTTAATACAGGATCGGCTTTTACAAAAGTTGAGATAGAAACAAACCCTCAGTTGTTTTCATTCTAAACTCACTCAATGATGGATTTAATTCCTGAAAATATTTGGAGGATCACAGTGAACCTTTAACCGAATACTCATCTCAATACATCAACCAACTAAAAATAATTCATGATTGAATAGAAAAAACCTAGATTAAGATTTTTCGTTGTTTTGAATGTGTGCCCACTGTGGGCAATGTGTCTATATCCTAATAATCATTTCAGAACTCCTTGTGTATCATATCCCACTTTGATAATACTGAAAAACACTAATAGGAAAAACACAGCAGCAAGACAATTACATATAAAATATATTTAAGAAAATATTTTTATAATTTGTATGACTTGGTATAATAGGATTTTACATTACATACCACGACATTTTTTTAAAATGAATAACGATGTATTGTTGAAGATGAAGCTGCCTATACGAACATTAATCATACGATGACCAGCAGCAACATAACTGACTGGTTTATGAATTAATAAGTATAATCCAATAATATGGTACTTTTATTTTGGTTTTCAAGACTGAAGTATTCACATTGTGTTGCTGCTATTTTACTGAAGTAAATAATCAGATTAGGCTACTTCTAGTTCTTTCACCTCTCCTTATGTCAGAGTATATCATTTGAACATAAAACAGACAATATACATATTACAAAAAAATACTCAGGCAACAGCTTCCAAATATCCGTTTCCGTGTTTATTGCAGTCTACACATATCAAAGATATGAAAAAGGGACAATATATTTGCATGATGCTTAGTTCTTGCATCGGCCGGAGATGAGACGTATGACCCCTTCCTCCTTCTTCTACCATGGCAACATCAAGGATCCGGAGCAGGGACGACGACTGGGAGGAGCGAAGGTTTGAGGTCCAGGTGGTCGAGCCTACGTAAAAACGCACTAAACACACTCCAAACACTTGCGGAAAAGGCGGAAAAAAGCTCGATCGTTGCAGTTCCTGTCACTTGTATGACTTAATAAGCTTTTCGGAGAAAGCTGTCTGGATTTGTTTCTGGAGAAATAACCAAAAGAGCGGAACGTGCAACGGAGGTGCGTTGCTAGGACATTAAACGGACAAAACGGGACCAACTGTTCAAGTTGAACCTTAGAATTTGGGCCAAACAAGGCAACCGGCCAAGACGGTTTATTTCAGCGACAAGTGGAGATATGTTTAAGAAAAGCAAGAGTAAAGTGCTGGTGGATTATGCGTCAGAGGAAGACGACATGTCCTGGCACCAGCATCACTCCTACAAGGTAATGACACGGATTGAAACAATGTATCTCTAACAATGACAACTATTTACTGTATGATAGTGTGTGTCTTTCCTCAAACAATAGTGTTAGAAAATGGCTAAATGATTCCTTGGAGCTCGGCTCAAATGTATCAATCCACTTGTTCAGTTGTCTTCTAAATGTCAGGATATGAATATGAGGCTCAAGGGATTTAGTGAGTCAAAAAAACATTGTATGACAAAAATATATTTCCCCAAATACAATTTTAAAACAGCTTAAATTATTTGTTAAGATGGATACTTTTACACAAATTATTTTAAAGTAAATTAATATTAAATCCATGAACTGTAGACATAACTTATTACCCATCTCAAAATTATTTAAACTACATTACCCAACTTTGAAGCTGATACATTTCCTAAAAAGGTGAACAAATACATCTGATTCTGTTACTGAGATTGTGGAGCAGAGGGAAGAGGACAAGTGCTCAAACTTTTGTCATGCTAACTGAGGAGGAAGTGACAGAAAAGAGGTAGCTCAATGTGTCCCAGAGAGAGCCAATCCAATCCTAACATAGGATACATGAAGACTGCAAAACTGTAGCAATATATAACAAATCAGTTTAAATAGAAAACATTCCACATTGTGCTTCTTTGAATATAGGATACATATCAACATGAATTACATATAACATTTTGATTGTCAGAAAGGACTAATATGTAAAAATGAATATAAACACACATGCTCTTTTAATACAAATCAACATTAGTCAGTTGAGCAATGGTGTGTGAGGTCTAAGAGCCGCTGTATCAGCAGGCAGCTGGGATCTGTCAAGGTATTGGGGGGCATAGGGGAGAATCCATGATCACACACACACACACACACACACACACACACACACACACACACACACACACACACACACACACACACAAAGGCCAAAAGTCATAGCAGTCCCGTCTTATTCTAAATAGTAAGCTGCATGTTTATTTGTTCAGCTTCTTGCTGTAAAATCCTATCTAATTTGTACTTTTTCACCTTTGGAACATATTTGTATTATAGTAGAATTTAAATGAGACAAGTATCAGATTTTGACTTGTAGTAAAGTCCTAAATGCTACTTAAAGGAGCCCTAACATGAGTTTGGTTGATATACAGTAAATTATCAAACGTCCTTAGACATAGCTTAAAACTCACAGACACATTTATCCATAAAGGTTAGGGGCACATAAGCAATTTAGCGTCATTGTATAACACATGGTTGCAGGGGTCAAAACAATGTGCTATCATCATGCGTCATCTTTTTTCTTAGCTTAGCTTCTGTAAGTGTGATAAAAATGTATTCAAACTATTATACTGTGAATAAAGGTTTACTGGAGAGACTAAATAAAAGTATTCAGTTGCAGGCTTACTAACACGTCAATATCATGTGATATAGTGCTTGAATTGCTGAAGTAAAACCAAACATTGGCGGATAAGATGATCATGAAAAAGGAGGAGCAATATCACATAGAAAAAAAATGAACGTGATTTTACCCATGACCTGCATTTGAGCCACACAGCAATCCCTGGATGAATAAAGGCAATTGGGAAGATGGACCAACACCACTTCCCAGCATTTTTTAATATGTTGTGATAATGTCGAGATCTGTGACCCTTGGATGGGTTTTATTAGACTTCTTTACTTCCACCATGGGAACCAACGCAAGTGTCTCTTACCTTCACAGAGCTGCTCAGAGTTCAGTTTGTGTCTCTCTCTCAAGTCCTCACCAGATCTTAGAACGATGAGAGCTGGTCTGGGATCAGGGCAGTGACTTCTCCTCAGAATTCCTGGGAAAGTCATCAGGGAGGTCCCCTTGAGTCGCCATGGTGATAAAGTACATGGATGGGTCAGGGGTCGGGTCATAAAATGTTGTAAACAAAGTGAAGAGGCAGATCGAGCCCAGCAATGATACAGGATGAACCAAATAGTTATGATAACAACTTCTGGACTTCATGGCCTTTCCTTTCCCTTATTTACAATCCGATGGTCACCCAGAGAGGGTCAAAGATATTTGCGTCATGATCACTTTCATGAATGTTTTAGTTTAAAAAAAAAAGAAAGTTATTTAAGATTCAATAAAGATAATCAGACTGACTGAGTTAAACAAATTAGAAATCAACATTAAAGCTACAAAAAAGTGAAATTCAAAAGGAAAGGGGTTCAAAATATGCTTATGGTATAAATAACAATCTTATTTAGTAACTTAAAACGTTTTTCTTGACTATTCACGTTATATATCACACAATAAGGAAACACTCATTACAATTTCCGACAATGCAAGTTGACATAATCATATTGTTTGTTTGTCTGTTCAACAGTTCGTATCTTAAATACATACAGTTTCGTGGAACACAAGGAAACCAGCAAAAATTAAAATGCTAAGTTGATTAGAAAATGGAACAGACACAGATTTACAGATGCAAATAAAATGTATTTATTTGTGTTTAATGACTTATACAACTTCTACAAGGCTCCACAAGTCCTGCTCTTTTTTTACTTTCTCCATATTAATCCTGGTGGTACAGGGATAAAACCACTTGTCTGACTCTTGTACAAAGCTGTATTTTATTTCTTGATCAAAATGTTATGTTTGCTAATAATCATTAAATGACACAGTAGGCCTCTTAGTTACATAGTGTTTGTTTTCTGTTATCTCCATTATGTTTTATGGCAGTGGAGATTATTTTCCTATTGTGTCAGTCAAATTAGTTGAAACTATCAGCATCGCCCATACAGACAAACTGCAGACAGACAAAGACAGAGAAGTATAAAGGGATAATAAGATAATAATAAAAGAGGCAGAGCATAAAGGGAAAAATTAATATCCACAGTGCTCCAGGCCGACTACAGACCAGGCCCTGTACCGCAGCTTGCCTTCACTCCACTGAGGTTCAACAGGCTGCTTGAGGCTCCTGTGAGCTTGCAGGAGGTGCGTGTGCCTGTTTGTCTTTGGCTTAAAGCGCTAACACACCTGAATACTTCAATAACATCACCCTAAACCACCACCGTCACAGCACTCTTTGTGAAGTGGGATCATGAGAGTACAGATCAGGCCTGAGCATTAACTTCAGAAGACCTCACATATAAATACTTAGTGGTGATGAGAAGAAAGGTAAAGCCTCTGTGGATCAACTGTTGAAGGGGTTAGGGTTTAACTCAAATCAAATCAAACGCTGTGAGTTTTAACTGAGAAGTTAAGGGTTTGTCTGAAGCTTTCATAACTTTTGAAGCAATAATTTGACGTTCAAAATATGATTATTCTTTGTGGAGAATTACGTTTATCATGAAGCCGTAGCAGCTTAGCGCACAGACTGAATACAGGGGGAAACAGCTAGCTCGCCTCTGTGAAAGGACTCGAGGAAGTCACTGTTTCTAATGTAAAACCACAAGCTGTAATTTTGACTGATGAATAAGATATGGTGGGCTAATTAGTGAGATTTAGAGATGCTATAGGCCAGTTGTCTTCTGACACATGCATCATTCCAAACCATTATTACAAGCAGCTGAGTCGGGAACTTGCCTCCAACTTGAGATGCTGGCAATTTCTGACAGTAATGTTATCTCATGCTCAATAAACTCCATCATTGACACTCATTGTTTCTGCTGATTTAAAAGGAGCCATACACAGATGTGGGTATCTGGTCTTGTTTGTATCATACCACCAACAAAAAAGGCACATTTTGGTTATTCCTGTTGTAAAAGCTGTTCTCCTGTGTCTTCCCACTTTGCTTGATTGTCGCATTAAAGCTGTTTACCCCATTTTCCAGTCTTTATGCTCAGCTAAACTCAAATTGTCCTGGCTTAGTCGCCCTATGTTGACTGCACAGGTATGAGAGTGGTAGCAACATTCTTAACTAACTAACACAAATACTTTAGGTAGATGTGGCCTAGTGTTTGTCAGACAAAAACATGTTGGACAGTGTGGTTTGTTATTGACTATTGTTGGGTTGCAATGCCTTTCAAAACCTCAGTTTATACTACTGTGTTAAAATTCACTGTGCGTCTGTATTGCCTAGTAATCTGGCATTTAAAAGACAACACTGGTGAAATGTACACACTTGTACACAGACCCAGTCTAAGAGGAACAAAAGAGGCACAAACCCCCCCCCCCCCCCCCCAGGTGCCAGAGCAGAACTCTTGATTTCTGTTGGCAGGAGTGTTTCTTCCACCCGAAACACTACTCTCTCCCCCCTGAGTCCCCCCCTTCTTTCACTCTTTCCTCTGTTCCAAATTGTTAATGCTTTTACGCTCTGACAGTAGTCAGCAATCAGTATTGTGTCTTTGATCAGCTCAGGTGGCGGAGACCCAGTAGACTTTGCTCAGACATGTCCAACCAGCGTCTCTCCTCCTCTCTCTCATGGAGTTGTTAGCTGTAAGAAGTTCTTATAGCTTTGATCATTTTACAGGAATTCTGGCTCCACTTCAGTAATCTCAGGCTCAGCTGTATGTCTGATGACTTCTTGCCGCCCCCTTATGATTTTAATGTTTTCAAGTCTTTCGGAGCAAATCCAAGTCATGTTATATTTCTTAACGAGTCAATCCCGTACTGTAAATATCAGTCAAAATGGATATAAAAGGTTAAAAACAACATTATTGAATGTGCTTTATCATTTTTATGGCACACTCAAGTCACAGGCATACAGCCATGTTCAGTGGTTTAATATATTGAAGTACATTTACTCAATTACTGTGCTTAAGTAAGATTGTGGGGTACTTTCATTCGATTATGCTACTTTATGCTTCTGCTCCACTACATTTTAGAAGTAAACATTGTTCTTTTTACTTTACTACATTTATTTGAAAAAAAGTTACTAGTTACTTCACATATTCAGATTATAAGATAATACAACATATATAAATGAATACATATACTATGATGATACAATTATAGGTTAAGATATAGAGCAGCAGTATATATAAGTAATAAGTAATTACAATTAGCTCCACCTTCACCAGCTGGGATGAACACATAATCAAGTACATTAAATGATTCTGAAATAGGACATCATGCACAATAGGTACTTTTTGTTGAAAAATCGTTTTTTTTACCATGTAGTATTTCTACTTTTACATAAGTAAAATATCTACTTCTTCCACCACTGGCAATGTCTTACCAAAACAAAGTTACAATATGCTTCACATAAAATAATAAACAAAGAAACTATCACACAAATAATATACAAAGGAGATATGACAAATGGAATAAAAGCCCGGAGACTGAAGCACAATGGAGCCAAAATAGCTCTACTTATATACTCAAATAGTGTAATGTACTGTTGAGGCAATAGGTCATAACCTTATTTCTCTCTCTTTTGTTTAAATATGCCCTCTGAGTTCAGTAGCTTCCCCTTCCATCCCTGCATTTTGCCCTCCAAACAGAGCATGTTTATTTTACACCTCTTAAAAAAAGGTTGCCTTCTCAGGAAAGCCTACACACACTCCACACACACATCACCGTCGTGTGTGTGTGTGTGTGTGTGTGTGTGTGTGTGTGTGTGT